GTGCACAGAATTATTCAATCACAGAGTGTTCTGAAAGTGCATTTTCCTCTATTCTGCACTTTAGATGAATGACTGTTTAGGTGCCACTGGTACTCGATACTTTTGAAAATGAGTATTGTATCCGGATACAACATTTCAGTATCGATACTTTTTTGAGTATCGATACTTTTGACAACCCTAATAGATATATATATATATCTATATAAATATAAAAGGCGCTTTTTTCCCCCGCCTTCCATAGTCAGGAATGCATTTTTTTCTGGTTAATTAGTTTATTTTCCTTTTAATAATTTCCTTCTATCTGGGCTTCTTTTTGCTTCCTATGCCTGACATAGGAAACAAATGTTTAATCATTTCTCCATGTCAGGAGAGAGTTGGAACAAAAAGGGGAAAAAAACACAAAGAGGAGAAAAAATTATAGCTATACACGTGTGCTTAAACTGAAGGATAATTAAAAGATAAGGTATGGATAGAATATTTCCATTCTATTGTCATTTCCTAGTTATACAAAAATATGGATGGTAACGAAGGCAAAAAATGGGACATTTTCAGCAGTTGCAATGTTTTACCCACCATCTCCTTGCTGATGGTCTGGGTGGTGAATGCGGTCTTTAAAAGACCGTTTTCTGGGTAATTATGTCATCTGGGTAATGTTGATATAAAGTGCAGCAGCAAGGCTTGAGAACAAACACAAACTGCTGTAAATTAAAACGTTCAGTGCTCGTCACATGCAGCGTGGACAACATCTGAGGTCACCAGCGTTAGCTAACGATAACACCTGCTCACACAAGTTAAAGTTAACAATCGGTTCAAGTGTGATTCAGATTCATTCAAATCCTCATGACACGTAAAGCCATGCAGTCCTGGATCAGGAGGGGCTTTCACTGAAATTATAGAACATAAATGGACACCATTTTGCACGGTTAGTGATCAGTTCTCTGTTGCAATATAAACTCTTATTGCTTTGTTGCCCAGCCCCCCCCCCCTGCAGGGATTGAAACCTTTATTGTCATTTGTCTCTTATCAACAGAGCTATGGATAGCCAGCATTTTTTAACACATCCAGTCAGATTTATTCAAAAGTTTCTATCTAAGGAAAACCAGCTGATCAACATATTCTCATTATCAGTTCGTATGAAATCGTACGAAAAGTTATGCACGATATTTCCTAAGTTTTTGACGTTTTTCCTCGAAAAAACATATCAGTGTAAAACTGGGACGGACAGTGCAATAATTACTTCATGATGTCTCTCACTAGGTTGCTTGCTGTTTTGTATGTTAGTTGTTAGACACTCTCTCGATGACCCCCCCCCCCCCCCCCCCCCCCCCCCCCCACCCAGTCCGACGACTAGAGCAGTTGGTTAGGGGATCAAAGGCATTGCACGGGCCGGCGCACGTTCGTTGGTATCTCTCAGATCCATAGCCAAGCCAGTTTGTAGAACTTGGAGAATTAGGGTTAGCTTTTAGAGTAATGGCTAGGTTTTAGGGTTAAGGTAAGGCTTAAAATTAGGTTTTAGGGCAAGTGTCAGGGTTAGGGATCGGCTAAGTGTAATTTTAAGGCAAGGGTCAGGTGTTAGGTTTAGTTATGGATTCCACTAATATTAGGGTCAGTAGCTAATTGGTCTGGTAAGTTGATAAACATTGTATGTTAGGGTTAGGGTCAGGGTTAATTGTATGGTAAAGTTTATGTTATTGAATGGTGCGTAAGATGCGCATGCGCACGGATATCTTGTCTCGAGGTAAGACGTAAAAATACGACGAAATACGACGAAACGTCAAAAACGTACGAAATACTGTGCATAACTTTTCGTACGATTTCATACAAACTGATAATGAGAATACACTGAGCTGATTGCATGGACTCATTGCCTCTTCAGCAATCCCTCATACTAAGAATGCTTGTAGCGACAGTGGAGAGGAAAAACTCCCTTTGAACAGGAAGAAACCTCCAGCAGAACCAGGCTCAGTGTGAGCGGCCATCTGCCGAAAGAATGAAAAAACTGAAAGACTTTTATTTAGATTTAGTCTTTTTTTTTGGGGGGGTGGGGTGGGGGGGGGGGGGGGGGCGGGGGCGGTGGGTGGGTGGGATTGCTGACCATAAATAATTGTCAAACAAACATATTCTCATCCTAGGTTTGAACTACTGTTGGGGTTTTTGGTTTCTACACAATGACTGTTTCTCATCTGTTCTGGAATGTGCCGCTTTTGATATCTCATTTGATATCTTAAGTTCAGTAGCTTTTATTTGTCCCAGTATGCACAATTTTTGTGCAGTAATAGTACACCTTTCACACACACGTTCCCATTTCACAAATCACAGATTAAAAAAAATCAAAGAAGAAACACATTAGATATTTTAGAAATATAAAAGTAAGGTGGATAAAAGAGAGAAAACAAAATGTGCAGTGCAGGGGATGAATGAGAGCGTAGGCCTGAATGCCTGCAACAAATAGCTATCTGCTTTTCCTAGTGAAGTTTAGCAGCTGAACAGCAGAGGGAATAAAGAAGTGTTTGTATCTGTTGGTCCAAACTGGTGAGTATTTAAAACGGGAACCAGAGGGTAGAAACTGAAATTCGTTATGTAGGGGACGGGTATAATTATCCAAAATGGACTCAGCCTTCCTGATTACCTGATCTTAATACATTTCAGTCATGTTTTTCTGTTGAACACCCGTGATCTTACTACACACCTTAATAATCTTAGATATGGCATTTTTGTTCTTTACATGAAGAAGAGCGTACCAGCAGATGGCAGAGAAGGTAAGTATGGACTCTATAACAGATCTATAGAACATGGTCATCAGAGTCTTGTCAACCTTAAACCTGGCTAACTTTCTCAGGCAGTATAAGCGCTGATGCCCTTTCTTACACAGCATGTCTGTGTTGCTGTTGAAGGTTAATTTGTCATCTATGATAGACCCAAGATATTTATACTGGTGAACAATTTCAATGTCTTGCCCGTTTATGATGGTTGTAGAGGGGTTGCAGGTCTTGTGCCTAAAATCGATACACATGTCCTTTGTTTTAGTGACATTCAGTTCCAGCATGGCTTCCTGGCACCAGTTTGTAAAATAGTCCATGATGGGGCCATGTGCTGTTTCACTGCATGTTTCACCATCTTTTAAAATACTTCATGTTGTCCAATAGCTTCTAGTAAAGTATCTTTTTCATTGGGTCTGGGTTTGGTTACTGAAATTGAACTCAACATAATCACAAGTAACAACTAAAGAAAGGAGGGTCCTTCATTTTCCTCTTAGGGCCTTGCTGGGCCCACTAAAAATAGCATCATCACTTAAAAAAGAAAAAAAACGTTACTTTTGTCTGATCTCTAAAGTTGTTTGATGATCTCAAACATTTAAGGAACATGTAGGAGTGAAAATAATCTAAAACTACATCAGCTAAATTCAAGTGATAAGAATCAACAATTAAATTTGGGGGTTTTGTTTGTATTACTGAAAAAAAGTTTTGCTTATGCAAAAATGTGCAGATTAAAAAAATGTTTGCTTATGCAAAAATGTGCAGATAAAAAAAAATGTTTTGCTTATGCAAAATGTGCAGATTAAAAAAAAAGTTTGCTTATGCAAAATTTGCAGATTAAAAAAAATGTTTTGCTTATGCAAAAATGTGCAGATAAAAAAAAAGTTTGCTTATGCAAAAATGTGCAGATTAAAAAAAAAAGTTTGCTTATGCAAAATTTGCAGATTAAAAAAAATGTTTTGCTTATGCAAAATGTGCAGATAAAAAAAAAGTTTGCTTATGCAAAAATGTGCAGATTAAAAAAAAAGTTTGCTTATGCAAAATTTGCAGATTAAAAAAAATGTTTTGCTTATGCAAAATGTGCAGATTAAAAAAAATGTTTTGCTTATGCAAAAATGTGCAGATTAAAAAAAAAGTTTGCTTATGCAAAATTTGCAGATTAAAAAAAATGTTTTGCTTATGCAAAAATGTACAGATAAAAAAAAAGTTTGCTTATGCAAAAATGTGCAGATTAAAAAAAAAGTTTGCTTATGCAAAAATGTGCAGATTAAAAAAAAGTTTGCTTATGCAAAAATGTGCAGATTAAAAAAAAGTTTGCTTATGCAAAAATGTGCAGATTAAAAAAAAAGTTTTGCTTATGCAAAATGTGCAGATTAAAAAAAAAGTTTTGCTTATGCAAAATGTGCAGATTAAAAAAAAAGTTTTGCTTATGCAAAATGTGCAGATTAAAAAAAATGTTTTGCTTATGCAAAAATGTGCAGATAAAAAAAAAAGTTTGCTTATGCAAAAATGTGCAGATTAAAAAAAAAGTTTGCTTATGCAAAAATGTGCAGATTAAAAAAAAAGTTTGCTTATGCAAAAATGTGCAGATTAAAAAAAAAGTTTGCTTATGCAAAAATGTGCAGATTAAAAAAAAAGTTTGCTTATGCAAAAATGTGCAGATAAAAAAAAATTTTTTTTGCTTATGCAAAAATGTGCAGATTAAAAAACATTTTTTGCTTATGCAATAATATGCAGATTAAAAAAAATTTTTTTGCTTATGCAAAAATGTGCAGATTAAAAAAAATTTTCTGCTTATGTAAAAATGTGCAGATACAAAAAATATGCGTATCAAATAAATCTGGTGACATTTAAAGATAGATAGCTCAGGTCAAGAAACTAAAAATCATTTCCAGTTTTCATCATTTTTACTCCATCAGCTGATAGCCTCCAGTCTGTGTTGTTGGGCTGGAAATACAAATGGTTGGACCTGATCTCTGCAAAGGTTTTCACTCTCTGGACCTGGATTATCCTCCTCTAGTGATATTGTATAATATACGCTATAATTTAACCTAAAAACTATACCCTAAAATTACAATAAGTGGATTATTCATTTACTAAAATGCAATAAGTTAAATACTGAGCTACTGTTGGGCATCTTTACTTGACGATTTATCAATTTAAACACATAAAATGTGATAGCAGTGATGTTTAGTGTATTTATAAGACACCAGAGCCTCAGTAAAACACTGAAAGGAGACTTACTTGAGCGTAAATTGCTCCACAGTGGAGTTGGGCATCAGGTAGAGGAGGATCTTCAGCGTTTCGCCAGGTTTCAGCGGCTTCTCCGGCAGCCTGAGGAACATATTCTTGTCCAACTGCTTGTCCACCAGGAGCTGCTCCTGACTGGCCTGGTAGAGACTGATACTTCCAATGCGCAGCAGAGGGTGCTGTGACAGAGGTTCTCCTCTGGCCACGCCACCTCCTCTGTGACCCTCACTGCACTCTCCGTCCAGATTGGGCTCATGCAGCGTGTAGTAGAGCTCAGCCTGCAGGGTCTCAGTAGTTATTCCATCTAGAAGCCCGTCACCGGGATTTTTCCTCCGACCCAGCGGCGCCACGTTAGTATTAAACCAGGAGGGGGGTAGCTCCAGCTGGGCCAAGCATTGGGCCAGGTTGCCCTTCATGCGGCAGGACGTCTTGATTTCCCGGACGTCCCGAAAAGCATGCAGTCGAATGCAAGGCAGGTTGTCCTGAGCTTTAAAGTCATCCCAGTCTCGTCCCGCGATGTAGAAGAACACCTGGACAGTCGGGTTGTTGGAGAAGACCCTCGCTTGGACAATGAAAGCCCGAACTTTCCAGCCCACCGTCAGCTGGCCCGGGATGTCCAGAGGGCTGGTTGGCTGTAGCAGCTCCTTGGATAAAGCCTGGTCCTGGGAAAAAGGCCCAAAGCTTATGTTGATGGAGGGGAGCTCCTTTGTCTGGAAAACCACAAAACTCTCCGAGCGCTGCAGCGGATGTCCAGAGCTGCTGCTGCTGCTCCTACTGCCGCCGCCAACCGTTTGTCCTGTGATCTGGGCCTCCCGCAAGAAGAAAGCCAGTTGTGCATTGGACATTTTGAAGCTGGCAGGCAAATAGACACTGGGTGGTAAAGGACTGGCTGACATTGCTGAGGCGCTGAAGAGAACATCTGAGGTGGTTGGAGAGATTTTACCTGCAAGAGCTGTGAAAACAGAGAGAAAGGAGGATGAATAAACTCTCCAACAGATTATTTATTTCATACGCACATTTAAATCACAATTCACGGTCAGATAAAGAAATAAATAAAATATAAGTGGAGTTAATCAGATATGCTACTGAGATAAATACGAAGAATAGTTTCTTTTTTATCACTGAACTTTCAACAAGTGACAGAAGATTTAAATCTATAATAAAAAGTTCTACCCCGCTATCCTGCTCAGTCACTGTTTTTGATTGAAATTAGATTCTACGCGGCAAATGGAAAACCAACACACACACTTAGACATTAATGATTCTGCAGGGATCATTGTTTGAAAGGGAAAACAGAATGGATTTTAGTCAATGACTTTATTCTGTTTGTGGAAACCTGTGATGGAGCTGATGTCATTCACATTAATGGAAGTAAAATATGAAATATATACAGGAAAGGACAAAATACTTTGACAGGAAACTATAAACCTAAGCTACTTAAAGACAGCGGTTATAATAATTAGTGCAACTTTATAACTGAACTCCACACAGCGACTGCGTTAATAATATAGATGTAATCATGGATGTATTTTCCTGCTTTTATTTAGGCCCATAGCAGAAACAAAGTAGCCCCAACATTCCCTGTATTTTTAGGGAAATATGAAGAGTTTTCATATTTTACAATAATGACAAAAATATCTCACTGAGTGACAAAACAATCACCTATCTCTGCTCTATGGTTACTCTAAACAGGGGCGGATTTAGGAAAGTTGGGGCCCTAGGCAAAGACAGGCCCCTCAGAATAGAGAAGCCAACACATAGAACAGCCCCATTCTCCAGATAGAGAAATGTTAATAGAATAGACATCCATTATCTGTTCTAGGTTGTGTCCCTCTCTTCTTGTCCCTTTTCTTCTTGTTTTCCTCTCTATGTTTTGTACTCAGCTGACTTTTCATGCTGCCTCTAAAGGAATGAAAGATTTTTTCCAAGCACTAAGCTCACTTAGCTGATTGCTCCTTCCTGTGTTTCCAAAAAGGCCAAAGTAAATAACCCAGTCCTTCTTTTCACTGTAGACAAGCCATGATCTGCTTATCTGTTCTCCATTTTTCATTTGGATGAAATAATAGCTGCATGAATCATGACAGCAGACAAGATAGAGGAGAGCAGGAGGCGGGGTTACCAATCTACTCGCTCTGGAGAGCAGAGTTTGCTGCTTTTAGATGTTGTCTCCAAAGTCTCCAGTAGCAGAAAAAAGTCTCTAGATTTGGCGCTAGGAGCTTTTTAGAAATCAAAGTACTAGAGGCAGAGATGGGAAGTAACGAAGTACAAATACTTCGTTACTGTACTCAAGTAGATTTTTCTGATATTTTTACTATACTTTACTACTTATTTTTATGGCGACTTTTTACTTCTACTCCTTACATTTTAAAAAAATTGTCTCGTTACTTTAGTTTTGAATCATTTCAATGGAGTTACCGTTATTATTTTTCACGTCATCAATACCAAATTCAATCTAATTGGATGGGAATCTACGTTGCATTTGACGCACCACTACAAGATGAATCGACAGATTCGGCGGTATTCATTGGCGGCAAATCATTGCAGCTTGGTGGCGGTGGCGTTAGCATAGTAGCATGGACGACGAGATGATTGAAAATGAACACAACGGAGATCTAGTCCTATTGGCAGACATCCATTTAAAATGTAGGCAACGGCATGAAAAAAGTGCTTTCTACTTTTACTTTTATACTTTAAGTAAATTTACAAGCCTGTACTTTGTTACTTTTACTGGAGTAAAGAAGTTTAATCAGTACTTCCACTTTTACCAGAGTATTTTTTAACACAAGTATCTGTACTTTTACTGAAGTACGGAAAGTGAGTACTTTTGCCATCTCTGGCTAGAGGGGTCTGAAAAGTCGCAAGTTAGGAACATTCTAAGGACCCTTAAGTGAGGGGGGGCCCAAATAAAGAAGAAAAGATTTTTCCCGCTATGTTAAACTATAAAATCCGACATGAAATAAATAATTTTTGTGTTTCCCCCCCTAATTTTTAAGCAGTAAACAGTGAAACAAAACCCCGGTCCTGCATCGCATCAGGTCTCCCTGTCTGTAAGGTTGCTCGTACCGGAGCTTAAGTGTAACATGCGCCTCATTTTAGTTACAATAAATGAACCAAATCAATGCACCTTTATAGCAGTTTAAAACCTTACATACATTTTTTTTGGGGTGGGGTCCAGTAATAATGTTTACATGGGGCCCCAAATTCCTGGCGCCGCCCCTGTTTCCATCCAATACAGTGAATTAACCACAGGATGCAAAGCATAATGTTGATGCTTGGCTGTAACAAACAGGGAGGAGAGGAAAGAGCAAGAGCCGACCATTGATCACTACCGATCAAAGTTTTAATGAATATGTTGGAATCTAACAAGTTGTTCTTTATTCTATCAGCCAGTATTACGGCGTTAGACACCATCTGGAGAACTGAAAGATGTTTTTCATCCCATGCTATTCGACTTATTCATCAAATACCAGAGATAATGGATCCTGGCTTATTTCAAAGAGTCACGTGACTTTATGATAAAGATGAAAAGCCTTTTAAATGGAGGTTTCCATGTGATGCAAACAGAACCTGATCTGGAAATGAGGAACATCTCTAAGCAAACCACTGGACTTTGTTTACAAGTTTGAAGACGTTTCTCTTCCCATCCAGGAAGCTTTTTTTTCAATTCAAAATGTCAGAAATTCAAAACTATTTCTGACATTTTGAGTTGAAAAAGTTTCCTGGATGGGAAGAGAAACCTCTTCAAACTTGGAAACAAAGTCCAGTGGATTGTTTTTCATTTCCAACATCTCTAAGTTAGTACCCTGATATACCAGAAAGTTTTATTTTACAGATTACAGGAAACACTGGGGAAAAAAACAACCCAGAATGATAAATAATCTTTTCTGAGGAGAAACCAGAAAGCAGAGGAACTGTGGTTCCTAGGGGCCAGAGGTTGGTTCAGTGCAGCATCAATAAGTCATTAGAATCATTGCTTATGGACTCGATATTAGTTCATTGACTGACAGAAAAAGCCAAAGCTTTAAAAACAGCTTAATCTTTTTAAATGACGGTTTACTTTCATCTTTTAAATTGGAATAAACAGCAGCAGCTCTCACTATGCATAAAATCCAGCTTTACCTCTTTAACACATCTTTCTTTTTTATCCAACTGCATTTATATAAGATTTCAGTCACAAAGATGTGAATCTTTTATTTTCCGTCAGCGTCTCCTTTACACTTGTTGAATAGATAAATAAATGACCAAGAAAGAAAGGATAAGAAATGTTGCATACCTATGAAAATGATCCAGAGCTGAGCACAAACGCACAGATGCCTGTCCCCATAATCCAGATCAGATATTAAAAGTCCCATATTCCAAGTAGTTCTATCATTGAGATCTCATCTCTTCCAAATCTAGAGTCAAATAAAAATAATAAGGTTTCCTTTTTAAATTCCTGCTCCAAAGTGCGCGCTACTCCACATCCATGTGAAGGTGGAGATGATGCGGAATGAAGGGAAGGAAAAGCCTCCGCTCCTGTCGGCAGCTCCTGCTACTCTGAGCTGCTTCAACTCGCGCTCCTGTGACGCCTGGAAGCGAAGTGTGCGTTCAGGAGCGGCTCAGCCCTGCGCGGCGGATCCCACAGTGCGCGTGGCTCCGGGACAGAACCCTGATAGACAGACTGAGCCTCCTGCCGGTTGGTGGGCTGTGCGCGTCCTACAGACAAAGCCTGTGACGCTGGATGACCCACCCCCCCTTACATCCCCTCATCTCGCCACACCTAGTCTCCAGTCTATAATCACCGCTCCGGGTGATGGTCAGGACGCGCAGCCCTCTGTGGATTTAACTTCCACTGCACACAAGAAACACTCCTGCGCCATTTATCTTCCCCCTCTCTGCCTCTCTGGACGTGTTCAGGCAGAGCTGTGAGAGCCAGGCAGAGAATAAGAAGTGTGTGCGTGGGGGGGGGGGGGGGGTTTGCGTGAATGCCTTAAGGCAAAGAGAGAGAGAGAGAGAGAAAAGAAGTGGGGAAAACAGGGATTAGATAAAGGTTATTGATGAATTAGCTCAAATATGCTCCTCCTTCCTCACCCCCCCTCCAGGGTGCAACAGCCTCATGAGAATGAAGAGGTTACCAGCACAGGATGGGGAGGGGGAGGGGTACACACACACCACCATGCTGCCTGACTCACATGTGGCTGGAATTCCCTTCATAAAGGAGAGGAATCCATGGATCCCAGTGAGTGTGGGGGGTCTATAAACTGAATTGTAGCAGCAGAAGGCGGTCACTTACAAACAAAGAAAAAGACCAGCTGGAGAGAGTCTCCTTGTTAACCCAAAGCTCTCCAAATCACAGGAATGTCTGCTCTTGTTTCGGTGGAGGGACGAACCCACGAAACCTCCCACTCCAGAAGAAAACCCAGCCCAGCGGTGCTCTGGAGTCCGTCCTCTAGAGCTCCCACCGATGCTGAATATTTTACAAGCCACAAAACATCCTAACAAAACTCAGAGACTACTCCGCTAATCCAAGCCTGAGGAAAAGATCAAACATGTACCTCACGTATCAGGATACACACAGTGTCTGCCTGCCAACTCCAATAATCAAAGTAGGGTATTTTTACCTCCCCGCTGCTAAAAGTCTACATAATATCACTGCAAAGTTTCAACGGCAATATCTCACCGTCTTGGAGTAGCTGTAGCCTTCAGCTCCGACAAAAACCGAGTCCCAGGGTAACCTGCCTCTTTAGCTAAATAGCAAGTGCCCTTGAGCAAGGCACTTCAGTGAGAGAATTCTTAAGTGCGGGAAAAGCACCTGCGGCAGGCCAGACAGCCCCAAACAAATTGGCTTTCAGCGAAGGATTGTTTTAGTCAGAAAGACAGCCTATAATATTTAACTGCTTGATTTCTTCCCATCATTTTATTGAAAACCAGGGTGAAGGGGAACGTTTTCTTCCTAGCAACCGCATCACACTGCTTTTTTGACAGAGAACTGAGAGTTTAGGTTTTTTTTATTGCTTAGCACTTGGCTGTGAATATATCCATTGTTTCTCAGGTTATTACCTGAACCACATTAGTTGAAAAAGGTCATTTTAGTCCCACAGTTTCTTAAACTAAACATAATGCTCTCATGTAAGGAAAACCTTTCCATGAGTGCGGCAAAGGGGATTAGGACAAAATGCAGTTCTTTTGGGCAATTAATGCAGACACAGCTCTGGCTTTGGCTAGATAAGTACCCAACAGCTCCTAAGACTTTCTCCTGCATATAACTCCCAGAGCAATCCGTACAAAATTCCTTAAGGGACATGCTGGAGAAGATTCTCAGTCATCCAAGTCATAGTCACTCCAAAAAAGTAAGAAAAATAAAATAAAAAAATCCACTGGATTTTGTTTCCAAGTTTGAAGACGTTTCGTTGAGTTTGAGGCTACCGTATATAGCCTCGAACTCAGTTCTATTTCTGACATTTTGAATTGGATGGGAGGAAAAACGTCTTCAAACTTGAAAACAAAGTCCAGTGGATTATTTTTTTAAATATTTGGAATTCCTAAAGGGACACAATTGTAGGGCTTTCGAAGATTCACAAAGCGCATGCAGACCAAGAAACTATGAACCTTCAGCAGTTCTGTAAGAATAAAGATCCAACGTGGGACAGCCAGGATGAAAGAAATGTTGTAAGGATTTTTATCAAAAACATTATTAATGTGTACAAACAAGGAATAGTTGTATTTAGGGATGTAGGATATTGGGATTTTGGCCGATATGCCGATATGCCGATATTTTAAAACTCATGTAGCCGATAACCGATATCGATACCGATGTTAAAGCTGGACAAAAATAAGTAGTCATTGAAAATAGCAGTTTTGTTATCCATTTCTGACACTTTGAAAAATAATATACTCAAATATATTTTCATATGCTGATATCAAATAGACTTTTAAAAACGCGGTATCGATCTATTTTACTTTCAAAATCTCGTGAAATTTCATCGTTCTGTTACAAACTCTCGTGATATTTAGCAAATTCTTGTGAGATTTTGTTAGTAAAATAGATCGATACCGCGTCAATATATCAACATATAAAAATATGGCAACATTTCGTGAATTTTCGGGGATTTCGTAGCATAACGATGACATATAGCAATATTTCATTAGTAAAAGAGATTGATATGGTGTTTTTAAATGGCAATATATCAGCATATGAAGATATTGGGATATTTTAATGGATCAATATTTTTTCCCTCGTCTTTAGAAGTTTTTAAGTCTGTAAAAAAGAAGTTTTTCAGGAAGAAGAAGAAGTAGTATATATATATTTTTTTTTTAGACTTTAGAAACTCAGAAGCTGATCAAATATCGGGTTAAATATCGGTGGGGGGGCCGATGTCCGATATTCAGTTTTAAGGCCGATACCGATAGGGGGCCGATTATATCGTGCATCCCTAGTTGTATTAACCATACATGGAAACAGAGTTTTATGGGGCCCCCAGGAACTTGGGGCCCTAGGCAACTGCCTAGTATTGCCTGATGGTATACCCCTCCCCCCCATGTGTGAAGTTTGTTTCACAATAGTTTAAAATTGCTATATCGTGAAATATCCAACATCTTCAAAAAGAACTGGCCAAATCTACAGACCATAGAATAGAATAGAATAGAATAGAATAGAATAGAATAGAAAATCCCTTTATTGTCCCAAAATGGGGAAATTCAGGTGTTTACAGCAGCAAAAAGATTATAGGAAAAAAAAAATGGTCACAAATGTGGACCTAAGAAAAATGTATGAGAATAACGTAATAGTGAAGAGTTAAAAGATAAACAATGAAATACTGTAAAGTGTTTTAACAATATAAAACTGTAGAATAAATAACCAATATAAAGCTATGGACATTTTTACAGTAATGGATATTTGAAAATAGCAGCAACATCAGAGGTGTGCAAAATGACAGCATAAGATGCAGGGAAGGTTGGATTTATTTTTTGTAATTACAGAAATCATAAAGAAAAAAAAGGACAGGATAGTCTGTAAACATATATATGTTTTTCATATTCTATTTATTCTTTTATTCTCATCCAGATTTGGAAACTGCTAAAACGTATGAAGTTCTGGCCGTAGCAATAGGTGTAGAAAATGTGAAGGACAAAAACGCATCAGAGTGCTTATAGATCCACAGCAGCAGGACTTCTTCAGCACCTGCTGCACCGTCTCGTTTTCCCAGTGGGTTGGAAAAACACCAACAGTGTTGTATGGAAGCAGTGAGAAATGTCCAGAAAATCTCAGGGGTGAATGTAAACAGTAGATATGCTCACAAGGTACAGATTGAAAAACCAAAAGATCTGCAGAAAAATAAGTTGACCGCTTCATCAGATCAGAAAATCCTCTGATCAAAGTCATGTAGTGCATTTTACAAGAGATATTTTAAGGTATATTTTCTAACAAACTTCATAGGCGAGCCCTATACTAGATAAAAAAACACAGATATGTTTAGTCTGAACTCTATCTATTAAGCTTCCACCACATCCTGCTGTGCTGAAACACAACACAATCAATGTAAGTCTGGCCCACTGACTAACAATCTATTATTAACTTTTTATAGATCAAACTAAGGATATAGAGGCTGGAGTTGTTAACTGTAAATAAACTGCAACACCCTTTTGAAGTTTTTCACCGGTTATATTGACTTTAGAGTAAGAGAAAATTCAGGAAGAAGTTTTCTCAGTGAGAAGCAGCAAATCAGATGTCAGGGTTTCTATAGAAGTGGTTCTAGTCCCGCCCCTGAGCTTGATGGATGAAGGCGACAGCCTAAATTATTTAATGGGATACAGACGGAGTATTAGGGTCAGCCTAGAGATTTGTTTGATTTGATAATATTATAAGAATAAAGTCATAACATTACAAGAATAAAGTTGTATATTTAAATAAATAAATTACGAGAATGAAGATTTCCTGATTTGTCAAACCGATGCTAAAGTATAACTTCACATGATGCTCCACATTCCTCATTTTAGGGAAGAAAGGGATTCTCGTAAGAGTTGTCATAAAATACAACTTTATTCTCCTAATATTAGGACTTTATTTTTGTAATTTTACAACTTTATTCTCGTACTCTTATGACTTTGTTCTCGTAATGTTACGACTTTATTCTCGTTCTCTTATGGCTTTGTTCTTGTAATGTAGGACTTTGTTCTCACAATGTTAGGACACTGTTCTCGTAATGTACGACTTTATTCTCGTAATTCCATGACTTATTCTCATAGCATTACAACTTTATTCTCATAATATTACTTTATTGTCGTAATTCCATGACTTTATTCTGGTAATGTTACGACTTTATTCTCATAGCATTACAACTTTATTCTCATAATGTTACAACTTTATTCTCGTAATCTTATGACTTTGTTCTCGTAATGTTAGGACACTGTTCTCGTAATGTTACGACTTGATTCTCGTAATGTTATGACTTTATTCTCATAGCATTACAACTTTATTCTCATAATGTTACGACTTTATTCTCGTACTCTTATGACTTTGTTCTCGTAATGTAGGACACTGTTCTCGTAATGTAGGACACTGTTCTCGTAATATACAACTCTATTCTCGTAATTCCATGACTTCATTCTGGTAATGTTACGACTTTATTCTCGTAATGTTATGACTTTATTCTCATAGCATTACAACTTTATTCTCATAATGTTACGACTTTATTCTCGTTCTCTTATGACTTTGTTCTCGTAATGTTACGACTTTATTCTCGTAATGTTACGACTTTGTTCTCGTACTCTTATGGCTTTGTTCTTGTAATGTAGGACTTTGTTCTCGTAATGTTAGGACACTGTTCTCGTAATGTACGACTTTATTCTCGTAATTCCATGACTTATTCTCATAGCATTACAACTTTATTCTCATAATGTTACTTTATTCTCGTAATTCCATGACTTTATTCTGGACTTATT